CGCGCCCAGGCAAACCTTAGGGGTAAAGTTTTCGGCGGGAATATGGGGGCAGGGCGGCATTCCGATTAGGGCAAGGGTTACAGGTCTTTGTGTGCTAAGTTAGGGTAGGGCGGCAAGGCGGCCTTATTGGGAGGTTGCTGGCCTGGGGTCTGCCGTTTTGAGGTCCCCAGTCTCGCCAGCCCAACAATTACAAAACTTCTTTATTTAACCAAGGTGACAATAAGAGATTCCAAAGGCAAATATGTAGGGTTATATAGTTGTTAGTAAAACTTAGCTCCTTTAATATTGAGAAGCTTTAACCAAGTGATCAAAGACTTGATAAAGATAAAACCTAAAACCTGCCTGGTTTTCCAGGCAGACAAAAGAAAAAAATTTGTTTACATTTTCTTATCAAGTACAGACCAACAATTCCAAAAAACTTTAGTCTTTTTAACAGAGAGAAAAGCAGAATTTTTTACCCATTCATTTCAACTTGAGTCCTGACCCACATATAAAATTCCTTTCCAAAGATTTTCCTTTGTAAACTTATAATTTTTTCATTCAGAGTTGCTTCCCTTATTCCCATCAGTCTTTTTTTTTTTTTTTTTTAAATATGGAACGCTTCACGAATTTGCGTGTCATCCTTGCGCAGGGGCCATGCTAATCTCCTCTGTATCGTTCCAATTTTAGTATATGTGCTGCCGAAGCGAGCACCCATCAGTCTTATATTTAGCAGAATTTCAACTCTTCAGGGTGCTCAGCAGTTGAGCGTCTGCCTTCGGATCAGGGCATGATCCGGAATCCAGGATTGAGTCCCGCATCGGGCTCGCTACAAGGAGCCTGCTTCTCCCTCTGCCTGTGTCTCTGCCTCTCTCTCTGTGTGTCTCTCATGAATAAATAAATAAATCTTAAAAGAATTTTTTTCAACTCTTTGAAACCTCAGTATCCAGTGAAAACTAAGTTGTAACCAATTGTGAACTGTCAAGAATTCTTTAGATGGCAAAATTATGAATCAGTTAAGTACAAAGAATGTTTTCAAACAGATACAGAAATCCTTAAGTTTCTTTGCAATAAGAAGTCTAAAGCGCAAACCTACACCAGCAATCAATGTGTTACTATTTTATCACATTTGGGAAACTCTAGATGTCCAAGAATTCAGTCCCATTTATTATCTAACGAAGACTTTAATGTTTCAGGTTACCAAACACTTTGAACATTATCTTTAACAATTACCCATGAAATCTTACCCATGAAAGACAGACAAAATTAACTATCATTTTAAGTCATCTTTTTGCTAACAAAATACAACAGAGATAACATGAGCTTATTTGACGTTTAGTAAATCTTGGTAGAATAGTTTCAATTAGCTTAAATACCGAATTATGTTCCACCTGGACTCACTTTAAAGTCATTTAATTTGATCCCCTTTGTCAGTTTTTACCTGCGACCCTGGTGGGGAAATCTGAAGTTAGTGTTAAATCCGAGGGGGTACTCTCTACTTCCGGACAGTGAGGGTAGGAGGGGGAGCAATGGTGCAGAAACAGGAGGTGAGGACAGCAGAGGTCAAATGCTTCAAGTAAGGCCAAAGGCAGATAAAAGCCTAGAGTGCAGAGGTAGAGGTCCTAAAATCTGTCAGCTCGGATGAGCAGATACAGATTCTCTTTCCTTAAATGTTGCTCCTGAACTGTTTCCAGTGGGTTAAAAGGCATCCAAGTAAAAGTCCTTGGGGACTGAAGAGAAATGGTCCATTCCCCCCAACTCTCAGTAGTGCCCCTAACAGGATGGGTCAGGGGTTCCCGGTGTCAAAGCGACCCAAGACATCCCTCAAATGAAATCACTAGGATCACAGCCTGTGTAAAGGCCCAGAAGGAGGGAGGCCTCTGCCCTACCCTCAGCTTTTCTGTCACATTTTAGACTACAGTGGGTGCTGGCATATGGACCGAGTTTGCCTTGCTGTGAAGGCCACAAAGAACTAGCCATTTTTGACCCATGGAAAACACTAGAAAAGTTTTACAAGAGGAAACTGCCCAATTTTGTAACTTAAGTAGTTAGTAGAGGACATTGGGAGAAAATAGTAGAAGTCCATCGTGATATAAGTGACATTCCAACACATATAGTCTTTATAGCCAACTTTGTTAGGAAACAATCCCCAGGCAAGTTGTTTTTTTAAAGATTTATTTATTCATGAAAGACACAAAAAGGCGGAGACATAGGCAGAGGGAGAAGCGGACTCCCTGAGAGGAGACCCGATGCAGGACTCGAACCCAGTACCCTGAGATCACCACCGAGCCACTCAGCCCCCTCCCCCCAGTTTTTTTTTCCCCCCAGTTGGGTTTTAACTCAATTGGGTTCTGGTTTCTGCGGGCTCCCAGGGAAGGTCTCACAGCCAGAAGCGGCTAGACCAGAGAAACAGAGGGGGGATCACATTAGACCAATGCGGAGGAAACCTCACATGGGAGTCTTAGGATTAGTAGTCATCTGGGTGACTTAAGTGGCTGTCCCATGCCCAAGGCAGACAAGTTTGTATAAGGACAGGAAAAGAGAGGACATCAGGTTTCTGGATCCTTTTTCTTCTTCTTTTTTTTTTAAGATTTTATTTATTTATTCATGAAAGACACACAGAGAGGCAGAGACACAGGCAGAAGGAGAAGCAGGCTCCACACAGGGAGCCGGATGTGGGACTCCATCCAGGGTCTCCAGGATCACGCCCTGGGCCAAGGGCGGCACCAAACCGCTGAGCCACTCGGGCTGCCCAGGTTTCTGGATCTTACTACTATTCAGGCCATGGTACTACCTGCCAGAAAGCAGACTTTTTCCCTCCCCATAGAGTAAGCACAAGCTAGAGGATGGCAGCCTGAACAACTGACATGAAAGTGTTCTGATAAAATTGTCCTTTGGAAAGCCCTGGAATGAAAGTAAAGGGAGAGGAAGTACTCACCAAGTTGCAATGTGGCTCAGAGTCCAGATGAAAAGACTCAAGCCCCACAGGCCAGCGCCAAGTGATATTTTTGGAGTAGCATTGTTGGAGTCTGGAGCCAATAGCCAAGAAAGAATCCTTGAGACATTTTTGGTGCAAAAAAGTGGTTTTACTAAGCAGGAGGATAAGACGCATGGGTAGAAAAGAGCTGTTGCCCCAGAACTGTGAGGAACAACTGACTATATACTTTGGGGTTGGGTGTAGCAACAGGAAAGGAAGTTCCAAAAGGATTTTCATATGCTGAAGAAGACTCACAGGATACCCGTGAGTATCCCCCGGGCCGTCGGGGCTTGCTATTGTCAAGCCAGGGTTATTTTTCCCCTCTGATACCGGAGAGCTTGGTTCTTGTCTCACAGAGTCGAAGAATGAATCGAGGCCACAGGAGAGTGAGTAAAGGGACAGAAGTTTATTAAGTAAAGATACAGAGAAAGCTCTCAGAAGTGAGAGCGGTCCCGACAGGGATGCCACCGAGGGCTTGTAGGGTTGATCTTTTATTGGAAGCCTAATCAGGGAACCTAAATCCTTTTAACATTATCTATTGGCATCACCATTGAGTAAGGACTATTGATAACATCTTTAATGGCTTACTTCTTCTTTGGGGCCTGGTTATTCTTTATTGGTCACAAGTAGCTGTTATAACAAGACACCCTCCCCACCTACATCTTAGGGCACGGTGGTCTGACTTGTTCCTTTATCTCTAGTTTCCTTACACCTCAGCATTTTGGGGATTTTTGTGAGCCTGCTTTTGTGGCTCCCTACCTAGCCCTGCCTAGCCCTGTCTCTAACTCACCTTCAGCAAGGCGTTAAGATAGTGAGGAACTTCCGGAAGGAAGGTTATACTTCGCTTGCCTCAAGTATTTGTCAATGGCTTATAGGTTAGGACAGTTAATTTTATCTACTTTTCCCTCTCCGTTTGTTTCCTACATCAAGTACCATCTCTGGGCAACTGCAGACTATTGAGTCCTCTGTGATTGTCAAGAAGTCACCAGTTTGGGAAGCCGAGAAAGGGTTGAAAGATGCATGATTAACTCAGGTAACCTATGAATTGCATCATCACAGTTCTTAGGGGATCACATACAAAAATGCCTCATAATGACCAAGGAACAAATGAGTAAAACAGGAAAATATTTTCTTTTAGTATGATGAGTCAGGTCTCAAGCATTTTTTAAAGGATTTTATTTATTTATTTATTCATGAGAGACACAGAGAGAGACGTAGAGACACAGGCAGAGGGAGAAGCAGGCTCCATGCAGGGAGCCCGGTGGGACTCGATCCCAGGACCCCGGGATCATTACGTGAGCCAAAGGCAGATGCGCAGCCCCTGAGCCACCCCAGGCGCCCCTCAATCATTAATTCTAAAGATTATCAGGTTTAGCTCAAGACTGAGTTCTGATGATGTTTGCAGTTTTTTCACTCCTAAATAGCTCATTTAAGAGTTTCTTATGTAATAGTTTCTAAAAAGCCACCCTCAGAAAGCGCTGGCCAGGGAAGCAGGAGCCTCCCGGGTCACTGAGGGAGGTGATGCCCACGCGTTCCCCAGGCCCCGGGGTCCACACCCTGGAAAGGGGCCACCCCCCTCCCCCCACTGTCGAGTTCGCCGGGAGCCACGCCCAGATCCAAAGGGTGGCCACCGCCTCTGTGCCGCAGACTCTGAGCCCCGCGGGGCGGGAGTGACTGCCCGGGGCGGCCCGCCAATGGCCAGGGGCGGGGCCTGGGGCCAGGGGCGGGGCCTGGGGCGGGCGGCCGAGGGCCAGGGGCGGGGCCTGGGGCGGGGCCTAGGGCGGCGGGCCAGGGGCGGGGCCTGGGGCGGGGCCTAGGGCGGTGGGCCAGGGGCGGGGCCTGGGGCGGGCGGCCGAGGGCCAGGGGCGGGGCCTGGGGCGGCCGGCCGATGGTCAGGGGCGGGGCCTGGGGCGGCCGGCCGAGGGCCAGGGGCGGGGCCGGGGGCGGTGGGCCAGGGGCGGGGCCTGGGGCGGCGGGCCAGGGGCGGGACCTGGGGCGGGCGGCCGAGGGCCAGGGGCGGGGCCTGGGGCGGCGGCGGGCCTGGGGGCAAGCGCGCTGCTCGGCTGCAGGGTAGTGGTCCCGGCCCGCGGCCCTGCCATGCGGGGCCCCCCGGGCGCTGAGGCGTGCGCCGCGGGGCTCGGAGCCGCGCTCTTTCTGCTGCTCTTCGTGCTGGGGGTCCGCCAGCTGCTGAAGCAGAGGCGGCCGGCCGGCTTCCCCCCCGGGCCGTCGGGGCTGCCATTTATCGGCAACATCTACTCGCTGGCGGCCTCGGGCGAGCTCGCCCACGTCTACATGAGAAAGCAGAGCCCGGTGTACGGCGAGGTACAGCCCGGCGGGCTGCGGGCTGCGGGCGGGGGGCCCCGGGCCTTCCTCCGGGGTGGGCTGCACGGCCGCCGCCGGGCCCGAGCCGTCCGGACGCCCCTTCGGCGTTCTAGCGACTTGGAGGGAAACCGGCTTCCCAAGTCGGGGCGGGTGTAGACCTGCCGGAGGCCGCGCCCCGCCCGGGGAGCCCCGCCCCGCAGGGCCGCCCGCTGCCGCCGCCTAGCGGTATCCCGCGGGACCCTCCCGCCTGCTGAGGGCGCCGAGGTGCTGCGCCTGCGCCGTGGGACCCGCCGCTCCGAGAGCGCCCAGGCTGTGCTCCGCGCAGGCGCAGTATTGTTGGGGTTTTTTGCCCCCCCCCCTTTTTTTGTCAGCCGGTGGGAGGTGGACGTGTGTGCGGATCTACCTGTGGCTTCTGGCGAAAATGAGGCATCCAAACCTAGGTCCAGATTAACGTTTAATGGGACATTCCTAAATGTTTGCATCTAAATCTTTCATTTCTTCTTTACATGATTTCCGTACAATTCATGTGAATTTCCTTTCTTTATTTTATTTTAAAAAAATTAATATCATTATTTTTCTACCCCCCATTATTTATTCCCTTCTTTATTATTCTTATTATTATTTCTCCAATTCCCCCTTACCTATCTTTTTTCTATACTATATACATACAACCTTAATTCCATACAATCTAAAAATCATCTTAAAATTACACACTATTTAAATTATTTTATCTTATTCTCCCCTCCTCAAAATCTCACAAATTATCCCAACTTTTTAAAATTTTATTAAAACAACCCTCCTTTCATCTTTTCTTCCAATACATCTTTATATCTTATAAAACAAAAAAAAAACCCAAACCCCCACCCCCCCCCCCCCCCACACCACACAAACAAAAAAACCCCCCCCCCCCACCACCACAACCCCCAAAAAAACACCCCCCCCCCCCCCCCCCCCCCCCCCCCAAAAAAAAAAAAAAAAAAAAAAAAAAAAAACAAAAAAAAAAAAAAAATAAAAAAAAAAAAAACCAAAAAAAAAAAAAAAAAAAAAAAAAAAAAAAATAAAAAAAACCTTTTGATTCCCCCCCCCCCCCCTATTTTTCTTTTCACTCCAATAAATATTTTAATAATATAATAGTTTTTTTTTATTTTTTTTTCTGGTGATTATATACCTGGGAGCTGGGAGGGGTTTGAGGGGAGGTACTCTCCAAGGAATTTTGGAAGCAAGGTTTCCAGGACCTTGAGGGGGCTAGCTATTGTTGGGAAAAGGTCACCTATTATGTCTGATAAACCCTGAGTCCTGAGACCCTTAAAATGTCTCAGTGGGCCATGTGCTTGGAGGATGATTGCCAACATGTATCTTGGGGGTTTAGAGATAAAGGGAAAATTCCTTTATTTTTTATTTTTTATTTTTATTTATTCATGGGAGATACAGAAAGAGAGGCAGAGACACAGGCAGAGGGAGAAGCAAGCTCCATGCGGAGAGCCGGACTTGGGACTCATCCCAGGTCTCCAGGGTCATGCCCTGAGCTGCAGGCAGATGCTCAGCCACTGAGCCACCCGGGCTGCCCAAAGGGAAAATTTTTTAAAATTTATTTTTTATTGGTGTTCAATTTGCCAACATATAGAATAACACCCAGTGCTCATCCCATCAGTGCCCCCCTCAGTGCCCATCACCCAGTCACCCTTACCCCTCGACCACCTCCCCTTCCACCACCCCTAGTTCGTTTCCCAGAGTTAGGAGTCTCTCATGTTCTGTCTCCCTTTCTGATATTTCCCACTCATTTTTTCTCCTTTCCCCTTTATTCCTTTTCACTATTTTTTATATTCCCCCAAATGAATGAGACCATATAATGTTTGTTCTTCTCCAGTTGACTTATTTCACTCAGCCTAATACCATCCAGGTCCATCCACATCGAAGCAAATGGTGGGTATTTGTCATTTCTAATGGCTGAGTAATATTCCATTGTATACATAAACCACATCTTCTTTATCCATTCATCTTTTGATGGACACCGAGGCTCCTTCCACAGTTGGCTATTGTGGACATTGCTGCTAGAAACATCGGAGTGTAGGTGTCCCGGCGTTTCATTGCATCTGTATCTTTGGGGTAAATCCCCAGCAGTGCAATTGCTGGGTCGTAGGGCAGGTCTATTTTTAACTCTTTGAGGAACCTTCACACAGTTTTCCAGAGTGGCTGCACCAGTTCACATTCCCACCAACAGTGCAGGAGGGTTCCCCTTTCTCCGCATCCTCTCCAACATTTGTTGTTTCCTGCCTTGTTAATTTTCCCCATTCTCACTGGTGTGAGGTGGTATCTCATTGTGGTTTTGATTTGTATTTCCCTGATGGCAAGTGATGCAGAGCATTTTCTCATGTGTTCGTTGGCCATGTCTATGTCTTCCTCTGTGAGATTTCTGTTCATGTCTTTTGCCCATTTCATGATTGGATTGTTTCTTTGGTGTTGAGTTTAATAAGTTCTTTATAGATCTTGGATACTAGTCCTTTATCTGATATGTCATTTGCAAATATCTTCTCCCATTCTGAAGGTTGTCTTTTAGTTTTGTTGACTGTTTCTTTAAAGGAATTTGTATATGTTAAAGTAGGCTTACAGGATCCTGGGGTCAGGCTGAGATTGCCTTCTGCCCTTAGCAAAATATGAACAACTAGCAGTTGAGTCTGTAGAGGAATGTCACTCCCCCTGTTTCAAGGACTTGTCAGTGTGCTTTGTCCTCAGCCAGTCCTGTGTTCCCCCATCATTTCCCACTGTGCAGAGATGGAAAGCACAGCCCAGAAATGCTGAGGGACTTGCACACAGTCACACCGCTGCTCCCTGCGGGGGAGGGAAGGGGGTGTGCAGTACTGAAGCGTGTGATTGCAAGGGTGTCCAGACCTCAGACGGAGGCAGACTTCCCAGGGCACTGGCCAAGCTCACCTGTTTTGCTTTGAATCCATTCATTCCTGTGCAGCCACAAGCCAGGCCCTGCAAGGTGCTGAGGATGAGATGAGGAAGGCAGACACTGCCTGATTTTAGGGAATTAGAGCCCAGTGAGAGAGAGAGAGCAAATCTAAATATCGGCCACAAATGTGAGTGCTTTGAAGGAGTAAGATAGCGTTGCTGTTTGGCAATTGTGGTATTTCAGGTGGAGACTTAAATCTTTATTTGAACCAGAGTTTACAAGAATTATCCTGGGTTTTTGCACATGTCTCATGGTTGACGTTAAACGGAAAATGAATTTAGGTAAAGCAAATGTATATAATTCTTATATTTTATTGTCAACCTTCCAGTTCTCCAGGAATTGTGTGTGTTTCTATGATTTCCGTTGAACATGTATGACATCTGGCATGTTGGTACCATGATATTCTAGAGAAATCCTAAGATGTGGAAGTATGAGATTAGAAGTTGAGTCCTCTTTTGTCAGATAAAACTCGATTTTTCTCTGAATTTTAATTTTTCCTCATGTGTAATGATAATAACTAGAAACAAACTGCTACTCAAATGTTCTTGGTTATTAATTGGAAACAATTTATTAGGCCTATAACTTAAAAAGTATCTTTAAATCAATTATGTGAAATGCTGTCTTGAATAGGAAGTTGTTTTTCATACACAAATATTTGAACTGATAGGAGCACTGTATTTACAAGGAACATTCTTTTCCAGAAGGGAGTGATCTGAGTTTCCTATCAAAATAGATTTTTTTTTTAAAGATTTTATTTATTTATTCATGAGAGACACAGAGAGAGAGAGAGGGGCAGAGACACTGACAGAGGGAGATGCAGGCTTCATTCAGGGAGCCTGATGTGGGACTCCATCCTGGGATTCCAGGATCATGCCCTGGGCTGAAGGCAGACGCTCAACCCTGAGCCACCCAGGCATCCCTCCTATCAAAATAGATTACAAATTATGATAAGACTGTCATTTTGATTCAATGGATTTAAGAATTTGGTATCAGTAATTACTTGCATTGCTGTTGTAACTATTTGAGGTGATTGTCTTTACAAAGAGTACTCTTTACTGGAAGTGGAAAAATCAGTAGTACTAGTAAGTACAGGAGAAACAGAGGAAAGATGAGCAAAAATGAAAAGCATGTATGCATTGAAGAGTAGATAATTGTTTGACTGACTCTGCCTTACACTTAAGCTGAAAACCACCTAGCATATTTAAACCACTTAACATCTTAATTAAGTCATTGACAGCATTTGATCTTTTGTTTAATTGAAGTATAGTTGAGGCACGTGTTACATTCGTTTTAGGTGTAAAGCAGTGATTTAACAACTCTGCACTATTTTAGGCTCACGGCAGGGTAGCCTGCCACCATACAATGCTATCACAGTAACATTTCCCTGTGCTGTATCTTTCATTTCCCTGATTTACAAGTTCCATAACTGGAAACTTTTTTTTTAAAGATTTTATTTTATTTATTCAGAGAGAGAGAGAGAGAGAGGCAGAGACACAGGTAGAGGGAGAAGCAGGCTTCGTGCAGGGAGCCTGACGTAGGACTTGATCCCGGGTCTCCAGGATCACGCCCTCAGCTGAGGGCAGCGCTAAACTGCTGAGCCACAGGGGCTGCCCATAACTGGAAACTTTTATCTCCCACTTGCCGTCATCCATTTTGTCCATCCACCCAATCCCCCTCTGGCTGCCTCCAGTTTTCTGTATTCATGAATCTGTTTCTGCTTTTGTTTGTTTTGTTTTTAGATTCTACATAAAAGCGAAATCATATGGTAATTGTCTTTTCTGTAGGACTTATTTCACTTAGCATAATAACCTCTGTCTGTTTATGTTGTCACCGTTGGCAAGATCTCGTCTTTTTATGGCTAATACTCCAGTATATGTCCATTGTATACGTATTCATTATATCACATCTTATTCATACATTCTTTTATTGGTGGACATTTAGATTGCTCCCATATCTTGGCTATTGTGAATAATGCTGTAATAAATGTAGCAGTGCATCTATCTTTTTGAAATAGTGTTTTCAGTTTCTTTGGACAAATAACAGTAGAATTACTGAATTGTATGTTGTTTTTTCTCTTAAGATTTATTTGAGAGAGAATCCATACATGGGTGAGAGGAGGGGCAGAGGGAGTGGGGAGGCCGACTCCCTGCTGAGTGCAGAGCTGGCCTCAGGACTCCATCCAAAGACCTTAAGATCACAACCTGAGCCAAAACCAGAAGTCCAACACTTAAACATCTGAGCCACCCAGGCACCTTGTATGCTATAACTAATTTTAATTTTTTGATGAACCATACTGTTTCGGAGTGGCTGTGCCAATTTACATTCCCACCAACATTGTGCAAGGGTTCCCTTTTCTCCACATCCTTGACAACACTTGTTATTTCTTGTTGTTTTTTTTTTATGCTAGCCATCCTTTTTTATTTATTTATTTATTTATCTATCTATCTATTTATTTATTTATTTATTGTAGGCTCCATGCCCAGTGTGGAGCTCAACTTGGGGCTTGAACTCACAGCCTTGAAATCAAGATCTAAACTGAGATCAAAAGGCAGGATTTTTAATCGACAGAGCCACCCAGGCACCCCAGATACTAGCCATTCTGACAGGTAAAATGTGATATCTCATCGTATATTTGATGTACATTTCCCTGATGATTAGTGATATTGATCATCTTTTCATATGGTTTGTGACATGTGTTTGTCTTCTTTGGAAAAATGCCTACTCAAGTCCTCAGCTAATTTTTATTTTTATTTATTTATTTTTAAAGATTTTATTTATTCATTCATTCAGAGAGAGCGAGAGAGAGGCAGAGACACAGGCGGAGGGAGAAGCAGGCTCCATGCAGGAAGCCAGATGTGGGACTCGATCCCTGGTCTCCAGGATCACGCCTCGGCTGAAGGCGGTGCTAAACTGCTGCGCCACCGGGGCTGCCCCTCAGCTAATTTTTAACTGGCATTTTCTGGTGTTGAATTATATAATTTCTTTATATATTTTGTATGTCAAACCCTTTTTGGCTGTATCATTTGCAGATACCTTCTCCCATTCAGTAAGTTGCCTTTTCAGTTTTTATTTTGTTTTGCTTTTTTTCAATGGTTTTCTTTACTGTATAAAAGTTTTTCTTTTGGTGTAATCCCAATAGCTTATTATTATATATATATATATATATATATATATATATATATATATATATATATATTTTTTTTTTTTACTTCTGTTTCCTTTGCCTGAGGAAATCTATCTAAATAAATTGCTAAGGGAAATGAACAGATTACTCCCTATATTCTCTTCTAGTATTTTTATGGTTTCAGGACTTATATTTAGGTCTTTAATCCATTATGAGTTTATTTTTATATATGGTGTGAGAAAGTGGTCCAGTTTTATTCTTTGCATGTATTGGTCCAGTGTTGCCAGCACCATTTGTTGAAGAGGCTGTCTTTTCTTCATTGCATATTTTTGCCTGCTCTGTTGTAGATTAATTGACTGTATAATCGTGGGTTTATTTCTAGGCTCTCTTTTCCGTTCCGTTAATCTATGTGTCTGTTTTTGTGCCAGGATAATAGTATTTTGATTATTGTATCTTTGTACTATATTTTGAAATCTGGGATTGTAATACCTCCACTTTTTTTCTTCTTCAAGATTGCTTAGGCTGTTTGGGATCTATGGTGATTACATACAAATTTTAGGATTGTTTGTTCTAGGATTTCTAGTTCTATGAAAAATGCTCTGTATATTTTGATAGGGATTATGTTAAATCTTTAGATTGCTTTGGACAGTATGGGCATTTTAACAATACTGATCTTCCTATCCATGGGCATGGAATATCTTTCCATCTGTGTCATCTTCAATTTTTTTTATGAAGTGTTTTATAGATCTCAGAGTGTAGGCTTTTCACCTTGGTTAAATTTATTCCTAGGTATTTTATTATTTTTGGTGCAATTATAAATGGAATTGTTTTATTAATTTCTTTTTTGCTACTTCGTTATTAGTTATGACAATGGAGTAGATTTCTGTAAATTGACTTTGTAATCTATGACTCATTTGTTACTTCTAAGAGTGTTTTGGTGGAGTCTTTAGGGATTTCTATGTATAGTATAATGTCATCTACAAATAGTTTTACTTCTTCCTTATCAATTTTGGTGCCTTTTATTATTTTTTTCCAGTACTGTGAAACTGTGGCTAGGACTTCCAGTACTATATTGAATAAAAGTGGTGAGAGTGGACATCCTTGTCTTGTTCCTGATCTTAAAGGAAAAACTCTTAATTTTTCACCATTGTGTATGATATTGGCTATAGGTTTGTCATACATGGTCTGTATTATGTTGAGGTGAACTCCCTCTAAACCTACTTTGTTTTGAGTTTTCATTGTGAATGTATGTTGAATTTTTTCAAATGCTTTTTCTGCATTTATTGAAATGGTTGTGTCTTTTTTTTTTTTTTTTTGCATCCTGGTAATAAAGAGTTGGAAAAAAATTAAAATGCCCTTTAGCTTAAGAATTTTTGAGTTATCTGCAAATCAGCTCATTTCAGGAGTGGAAGAATCCTTGGTCATTTCTTAATATCAAAATGAACTCAGGTTTCTCTTTTGGATGTCTTCTACATTTAACGAGGCAATCATACAAAATCTCCTATATTCCATACACGATAAATTCTTTGTTTCAGCCAACTCTTAATGGAGGAGCAACTAGTACAACACCATCTCCCCGGACAAAAAGCATCGGAATATTCCATTTTGTTGATTTATATATCTCTTCATATGTTTCTTCATCAATTTCTATAGTAGTCACAGTTTCTTCCACATCTCCCAATATCATATTTAAATGCTGATCATATGCATGTAATCTGCCTCAAAGCTCTCAGTCATTTCTCATTTTCACATAAATTCGCTCATCCAGGCTGAGCCTGATGAGATTCAGGGGCTCTTCTACGGTGTTGGTAGTTTGTTGCTGGTCCACGTCGTCCGCCATCTTTCAAACCCTGCACCCTTTCCCCGGTTGTGTTATTTTAATCCTTCATTTTGTTAATATGGTGTGTCATTTGGATTGATTTTCAAAAATTGAAACAGCCTTGCATCCCCAGAATAAATCCCACTTGATCATGGTGAATGATCAATTTAATTAATTTTCTAATTTGGTTTGCTAATTTATTGACAATTTCTGGTTCTGTTCATCAAGGATATAGTTTGGGATTTGTGTGTGTGTGTGTCTGTGAGTGTTTGTAGTGTCTTTTTTGTTAGTATTAAGGTAATGCTGTCCTTGTAGAATGTATTTGGAAACTTTCCCTCGTCTGTTTTTTGGAATAGTTTGAGGAGACTAAGTATTAACTCTTAAGTATTTGGTAGAATTCACTTGTGAAGCCATCAGATCCTCTTATTTGTTGGTAGTTTTTTATTAGTCATTCAGTGTCATTACTAGAAATTAGCCTGTTCAGATTTGCTGTTTCTTTCTGATTCAGTTTTGGAAGATTGTATGCTTCTAGGAATCTATTTCAACTAGGTTGTCCAATATGTTAATATATAATTTTTCTTAGTAGAGTCTTACAATCCTTTGTATTTCTGTGGAGTGGGTTATTACTTCTTTTGTTTCTGATTTGATTAATTTGGGTGCCCTTTCCATTTTTCTTTATTAGTCTAGCTAAAAGTTTATCAATTTTGTTGATCTTTTCGAAGAACCAGCTCTTGGTTTATTGATCTGTTCTATTGTTTTAATTTTTTTAAGGATTTTATTTATTTATTTATTTATTTATTTATTTATTTATTTATTTGAGAGAGAGAGAGAGAGAGAGAGAGAGAGAGAGAGGCAGAGAACACAGCAGAGAAAGCAGGCTCCTTGCAGGGAGCCCGATGTGGGACTCGTTCCTTGACCCCGGGATCACACCCTAAGCCAAAGGCTCAACCACTGAGCCACCCAGGCGTCCCTTCCCAGCTCATTTAGTATGAGGCTAGGTTGAGATTTTTCTTGCTTCTTGAGGCAGGTCTATATTGTTATAATCTTCACTCTTAGAACAGCTTTTACTGCATCCCAAAGATTTTGGCCCATTGTGTTTTCATTTTCATTGGTCTCTATGTATTTTTTTATTTCCTCTTTGATTTACTGCTTGACCCATTCATTGTTTGGTAGGATGTTATTTAACCTCCAAGTATTTGTGTTCTTTCCAGATTTTTTTCTTGTGGTTGGTTTCTTAGCATTGTGGCTGGAAGAGATGCATGTTATAATTTCAATTTTTTCCATTTTTTTACTTTTTTTTTTTTTTGCCCTAACATGTGATCTATTCTGGAGAATGTCCCATGTGCACTTGAAAAGTTTAATTCCACTGTTTTAGGATGGAATGCTCTGAATATATCTGCCAGATCCACTTGGTCCAGTGTGTCATTCAAAGCCATTGTTTCTTTGTTGATTTTCTGCTCAGATGATCTATCCATTGATGTAAGTGGAGTGTTAAAGTCCTCTACCATGGGCTTGAGTTGGGTCAGACCAGGTATTTGGCAGAATCATGGTCCCTCCAGACTCCCGGGGGCCCTCCCTATTTTGTTCCCTAAAAGACTTTCATTGGTGGGTGTGGGCTGCAAGCTGACCTGATGTCTACCACCCCTCCTTCCCCCGCCGCCCACTCTGGGGCTACAGTGGAACTGGGGTGTGTGGTTATCTTCCCCTCACCCGGACAGGAGCCCCTTTGGAGTGTTGCTGGCTCCCGACAGGGCTGATTGCACAGTGCCAGGCTTGTGGTGCTGATTTGGATGGACTCCTGCTGAGGGCAGATTGGAGGAGTGGGTCCCAAAAGAGCACAGGGCTGGGTGTGCTTTGCACAGGCTACGTCCAGAGTATTCCCACTGTACTGGTTCCCCCAGGCATCTGTGTTATTTAGGTGAGAGGCAGATGGTGGCTGCTAGCTCTTTTGTTTTTTGAGAAGTTTCCTAATGGTCCCTACCCCTCCAGCATAGGTTCTGAGATTAGTAAATAAATCTTTCCATATCCCCTAGGCATTTTTCGAATTGCTCTTTCTTTTTTTTTAAAATTTTTTTTAATTTATTTATTTATGATAGTCACAGAGAGAGAGAGAGATAGAGAGAGAGAGAGAGGCAGAGACATAGGCAGAGGGAGAAGCAGGCTCCATGCACCGGGAACCCGATATGGGATTCGATCCCGGGTCTACAGGATCGCACCCTGAGCCAAAGGCAGGCGCCAAACCGCTGCGCCACCCAGGGATCCCTCGAATTGCTCTTTCTACCTGTATCTACCAGTGCTGTTTATTATGCTATCTCTTTAAGGGTGGGGATTCAGTTTCCTATCACCCTCCAGCTATCCCAAGAGCTTACCCCCCCCCCACCACACACACACACTTTTAAAGTTCCAGGTATTAAGCCTCATTAATTGTGAAAATTCATGATAGTAAGTCTCTCTGTTTTCAAAGCCAAATGCTCTTTGGATTTTTCTTGGTGCAGGGGCCCATATCTGTGGTGCCCAGTGTGTGATCTGCTCCGTGCTTACAGGGGCCCTCCGTCCCCATGGGACAGGTTTCCTAACAAAGTCACCCTTCCTATCATTTTCAATGTGGACTCTTTTCTCTACATTTAGCTGTGGAGAGTCTGTTCTGGCAGTCTTTGGGTCGTTGTCTGGGTTTTTTACTCTGATATGGGTGTTATCTAGGTATACCCATGGGACAAGGAGATTTTGAGATCCTCCTATTTCACCACCTTCCCCAGAAATCAAACCTGCTTTGAACTCTATCAGGTAGATTGGTTATCTCCATTTTTTTTTAGTTCTTTTTTCACATTTTGTCTTAGTCTTTCATTTGGAACATATTCTCCTGTCTTCTCATTTTGCTTGACTTTCTGTGTTTGTTTTTATGAATTAAATGAATTCGTACTTCTAAACATTAGCAGTCTTGTATATGGTCATTCCTTGGTTGACTGTGCCTGGTGACTGACTGACTGGCTGGAGCTGTGGCTTATGTGGGCTAGAGGTCCTGGACATTCTGCTGGAGCCCCTCTGGTGGGATGGCTGGAGCTGAAGTAGGCATGGAACAGGGTAATCCAGGGGTCTTCACACAGAGGGTGCCCTGGCAGGACAGCCTAAGCTGAAGTGGTTGTAAACCAAGTCGTCTTGGGGCTTTCCACACAGAGAGCACCCTGGCAGGATAGCTGAAGGTAAAGTAGGTGCAAGAGGGGGAGTCCCAGTGTACTCCAAGCAGAGGATGCCCTGGCACAGAGTCTGGAGCTGAAATTGACATGGGATCCCAGGGCCCTCTGAGCAGGGGGTGCCCTGGCAGGGTGGCTAAAGCCAAGGCAAGGCAAACGGCTAGGAGTTCCTTGGGCCCTCTACACTGGGGGTACCCTGGCAAGTCATCTGGAACTGAAGTGGTATGGGCCTGGAGTACTCCAGGGTGCTTTGCACGTGTCACATTGGTGAGACAGCTGGAATTGTGTATGCTGTGCTGGGGCCTTCTGATCGGGATGGCTTGGACTGGTGTGGGGTAGGGGACCAGTGCACTGAGGCTGCAGGTGGCTTTGGTGCCTACCCCCTACTTCTTTCTGTGCTGTCATGGTGGAAGAGATATGTAAACCACGCATTTGTCAGTCTGGCTTCTTGGCTTCCAGTAGCTCCCCTGCCCTTTGGCAGGGTTCTAAGAGCTAATTTTTTTATATTCTAGTTGCTCTTTCTTTTTTTTTTTAAGATTATTTATTTATTAGAGAAAGCAAGAGAGTACAAGCAGGGGAGATGCAGAAGGAGAGAAAGAAGCAGGCTCCCCACTGAGCAGGGAGCTTGATGTGGGGCTTGATCCCAGCTAAAGGCAGACACTTAACCAACTGAGCCACCCAGGCACTCTGCCCTTTTTTCTTCTAATTTTTTTTTTTTAAAGTAGGCTCCACACCCACTGTGAAGCCCAACATGGGACTTGAACTCATGACCCTGAGCTCAAGACCCAAGCTGAGATCAAGAGTTGGGTGCTCAGGGCGCCTGGGTGTCAATCGGTTTAGCATCTGACTTCATCTCAGGTTGTGATCCCAGGGTCCTGGGATCAGGCCCCACATAGGGCTCCGTGCTCAGCAGAGAGTCTGCTTCTTCCTTTCCCTCTGCCCCTCCACCCCACTCTTGCTCTCCCTCTCCCTCCCTCTCTCTCTTTCTCTCAAATAAATAAAATCTAAAAAAAAAAACAAACAAACAAAAAACTCGACTGACTGAACCACCCAGGTACCCCAGTATATTCTAGTTACCCTTTTAAACCATGGCTTTTTTCCTGTGCACCAAGGCAGGTGAATCTCATCTCAGTCCCTCAGTGCTGTCCCTCCCCACTGCAGTTCAAGCACTGGGGGTGGGGTTCCCTTTGTTACCATAGTCTCCATTTTCTCTTGTCATTCTTTATGTGGCCTATCTTTTGTTCTATAGAAGCTGTTCAGGTAGCCCTCATTCCTTCAGGAAGAATTGCTTTATAAATAGGTATAGATTTGGTGTGTCAGTGGAGGAGGTGAGTTCCAAGTCTTTCTATATTTCCATTTTGGACCCTTCTCCCTGGCAACATTTGATCTTTATCTTAGTTGGGAAGCAGTAAAGGTATCTCATTGCTTTTGAGGTATTTTGCAATTCTGCTAAAGTCTCACAGTTAGTATAAGTTGTTAAAATACTATACCTTTTTTGGAAGTAGGAAGAGACTGTTACCTCTTACACTTCTGAAAGGTTATAGAAAGTTGTTTATAGGGCTTATTAGTAAATGGAATTATATTTTTCTATTATCTTCTTCACTGGAAATGTAGGCTCACAGGAAAAACCTGGACTTGAAAATTGCTTGTGAGAAATGGCGATCACTTTAAGTGTCACTTACTTTTATGAAGTCTGTGACTTCAGTTCTTTTTTTATAATTCTTGAAAACAACCAGACCTTGGGGCTCATACATTCATTTTAAAGGTAATCTTAGGGGGATCCCTGGGTGGCGCAGCGGTTTGGCGCCTGCCTTTGGCCCAGGGCGCGATCCTGGAGACCCGGGATCGAATCCCACATCGGGCTCCCGGTGCATGGAGCCTGCTTCTCCCTCTGCCTATGTCTCTGCCTCTCTCTCTCTCTCTCTGTGACTATCATAAATAAATAAAAAAAAAAAAATTAAAGGTAATCTTAGATAGAAATATACCACATCAAGAAGTATCATTTCCTTGGAGATTCACTCTGAATGTGTAAGCTTCTGCAATGACTTTAATCTGAATCCAAATTTTGAGTAGCATTTCCTAGCTAGCAAAGGGAGTAAAAGTGTTTTTTACAGATTATTTTTAGGTAATGCATGTAAGGACAATAAAGCAATTCCTTTACTTTAAGGCAAGTGGATCTGGCAACTTATTAATTTATTTATACAGGAAGCATTTATTTAGATCTTTATGCAAGGCACTAGGTGTGATTTTTATGGAAGGTTCAGAAGATGAAAGAGATGAAATCACTGATTCTGTGGAGTTTATAATTTAGCAGCCAAGCAGAAGACAAAAGAGTATTCCTGGCTTCCGGTGCAAGGTAGTATTAAATGAGTGCCATGGGAGTATCTAAGCTTGTGCTGTGGTGGTTCAAAGGAGAGAGAGAGAAGGAGAATGCACCAAGAAAGGCTTTATAGAGGATGTTCCCTAAAGACTTGGTATAGTTTGGAGAGTATGACAGTCAAGGGAGGCATTTCAAATGAGAAAACAGCCCACACAAAGGTTGAAAAGTGGGAAGCAGTTGGTTGTTTTCATCAATGGCACTCTTCACATCCCTCTGTTACTAGCCCTTCACCTATGGTGTTGTATAAATAGTGTACTTAAATGTGTATCTTCACCACTATTCAATAATTCAACATATACTTACTGGTTGTCACCATCTGTTAGGCACTGTCCTAGGTGTGAAGATACCTAAGAAACCAAACAGTGGTAAAAATCCCTGTCCTCATATAGCTTACATACTCCTGGGGGCTGAGGTGGTGGTGGGGGAGACGGACAATATAAATACAATAAGTAAACGATACAGTACATCGAAGTACAAAGTGTGAAGTCAGTTAAGTTAGGGATAGAATTTTAACTGAGTTAGAGCAGGCCTCACTGCAAAGACATTTGAACAAAGGCTTAAAGGAAATCAAGGACAAAACTAGGCAAAACTGGAGGAAGAACATTCCAGGCCAAGAGAACACGTACAAAGGCCATGTAGCAGGAGTATGCCATGTGGAGAACCGCCTATCAAGACACAAGTTGAGAGGCTGTTGTGATAACATGGGAGAAAATGAAGGTGGTTTGGATCAGAGTGTCAGGGATGGAAGGGTAAGAAATAGCCATCTCCTGTTTACATTCTGAAAATCAATCAACACTCTAAGCAGTGATGTCGGGCTGGGAAGAAAAATTGAGCCAACACAGGCAGTTTAGGTCCTCAACAGCTCGAAGAATGAAACCTTCCTGAAAGTCCTTGAAAACAGCATAATACCAGAATAGATGCTAGGTCAAATGATAATTTCCCCAGGTTTACTCTCAAATAGGGGTCCACATTTTTTAGTAAAGGTGGACTGTGTAACAGCTTTCTCAAGCCATGGCTCCTTCTTGGTCTTTGTAATCCATAGTGTCCACACCTGACAGCTTTACCCTGCAATATGATGCTCCTGTTTGTTCTCTATCCGTATTACCACAGCTTGCAGCCCCAGGGTCGTCTTCTACCATCCTTGTGAAACCATCAGTCTGTTTTTTGTTTTTTGTTTTCCCTGCATCAGAACAAGTGCCTGTTCACTAATGCCTTCCCTTCCTGCTTTGATACTGTGATTTATAATAAGAAATCCATATTTGGTCTTTGTCTCTTTCCTGGAATATACTTCCTAATGTCCTTGGAATTTCCTAAGTGTTAAAAGTGATACAGGTGTTTTTTTAATTCATGACAAGCCTCTTTCAACTATACCTGAGTTTATGCTAATGAGATAATTTTTGGAGCATCCCTAAAGTGGGAGTTTATTGCCAGGAGAACCAGTCATGATTAGATGGTGGAACTTCCCATCACACCCCTACTACCTCTGGGGGAGGGAGAGGGGCTGGAATTTGAATCAGTCACTAGTGACCCATGATATAATTAAACATGCCTAGGTAATAAAGGCTCCATAACAATCCCTGAATTCCAGGGTTCAGAGAGTGTCCATGTTGGTAAACAGGTGGAGGTGAGCAGAGACTAGATAGCATGCCTGGGGAGAGCATGGAAGCTTTGTTCCCCTTTCCCCATACCTTCCCTATGCATATCTTCTGTATGGCTGTTCCTGAGTTATATCCTTCTATGATAAACCGTGAATCTAGTAAATAAAATGTTTTCCTGAGTTCTATGAACCACTCTAGCCCACTAATCAAACCCAAGGAGGAGGTCGTGGGAACTTCTGATTTATAGCCTTTTGGTCAGAAGAACCCGAACTTGGTGATTGGCATCTGAAGTGGAGATAGGGAGCAGTCTTATGGGACTGAGCCCTTAACTTGTGGGATCTGAAACTGTCCAGGTAGGTAGTGTCAAAATTGAGTTAAATTCTAGGACACCCAGCTGGTATCCTAGAATTGCTGAGGGTTGAAAAATCATACAGCTGGTGTCAGTTTAGAGTAGAGTACTGAAATGAGAGGAGACACACGAGAAGGAGGCGTTTTCCCTTTATATCTGATACAATTACACTTCTGGGGCTCAACTTTAAAACAATTTCATTACTGCTTTGGGAACTGAAAGAGTCCCACATTTGCCAGCTGGAAGCCATTCTCTTGGCACTGAAACTCTTCCACTGCCGCTCTTGACTACTACCACTGCTTGTCGCGCACAGTTGATGCTACCTCCCCAAGGTTCTGGGGGTTCCTGCTGCTCGGTTGGCAGAGCCTATCCTGTGCCAAAGCCTCCATTGTTCAGTTGGTTGCCTCTGCTACTACTTGGAGGTCTTCATCACATTTTTTCCTGTAATTACTTCTGCTGAACTTCTGTTCTTCATTAAACCTATTTGTTGTTGGTTTTTTTTCCCTCTAAAGTAGTATAAACCATGGTTAAATTTGCTCTACTTATTTGCACAGAATGAGGCTTGATTCAGTATTTTGGCCCTAAAAATGAGCTCTCAGCCAAGCCCTGACAGGATGAAGATAAGCAATCTTTGCACCCCACTGATAGTTCTCTCACTGCATTAGCCTCTTATTTTGGACTAGCTAGAGTAGACTACAGGAGGTGTTCTGTTGTAAGTGAACCTGAGGTGAATGAAGCACAGGCATAGGATGGATATTCATTCTGTCTTGCCTTTCCCTTAGCTGAGGGCACCCACCTGTGCCTATGTGGTAAGTGCCTTTTCTCCAAGGTCAGATTCCCTTTGGTACCTTCTTTGTTAACTTGGAATTCAGGGACCCAAATACAAATGAGCCTAGTTGTAATATGTTTATACATCAAAGTTCTTGCTCAGGCAATCCCCTCCCTATATAAGCCTGGAAATAGTATATAGATGGTGCTGCTTCCTCATTTATCTTGGAATTAAAAAGAGATTCCTAGATCTTACTGAAGGCATTGAGTTGGAATGAATCTTAAAGGAGCATCTGAATCAAGTATCATATTTTCTGGGGCAACCCTTAAGCCCAAAAAGGCTAAAGGTTCTGTCCAGGGTCCTATATTTGTTTAATGACAAAGCTTAAACTAGAACCCAAGCCTCATGAGCCCAGTACTGTCTTCCTTATACCATTTATAAGATTATGTCTTCAGGCACTGACTAGGTAATGAAATTGTAGTGTTTGCTATGCCTTGTGGAGAGAAGGCGCTCAAAACATTGAGTTAGTTAAATAATAAATCCTTACATTTTCAGGGAAGTAACAAATACTGGGAGAACCGGGCTTAGCACATTTGGATTTCCATAGTTAATATTTCTGTTTTGTCATTTAAATGTTTTTTTTTTTCTTCTCAAAGATCTTCAGTTTAGATCTTGGAGGTATATCAGCTGTGGTTTTAAATGGCTATGATGTAGTAAAGGAATGCCTTGTTCATCAAAGTGAGATTTTTGCAGACAGACCATGCCTTCCTTTATTCATGAAGATGACAAAAATGGGAGGTATGTTTATTTTCAGCTATTTAGTGAAATAGTGATTTACTATTTTATTTATTTACTATTATAAATTACACTCTTTCTTATTTTATGTAATTTTAGTATATAGAGTTTAGGTTCTATTGTACTGATTAGCAGGAAAGAATTAATTAATTTAGATTACAGAACTTAATATTTGAAGACCTTTCAGGCTACATTACACCCATATTTTAGACCAGTACTTGCTAATTCTGCTGTTGTAATTCTGTCTTATAAATATTGTAAATAATATTTTAAAGAATTAGCATTTAATAATACCTGCAAGTTTTGTGAAGCAAGCTAGGAGAACACATACATGATCATGCACACTTGAATCAAAAGTGGTTTTCAAAGCCAGTCTTGAGTACCTGGTGACATTTTCACTATCAAAATAGATTGTGAAGAAGACTTTCTTAACTACTAACCAGTATGACATGTACTAGAACACAGATGGTTTTATTCAAAGATACCAAAAGCTACAGCAACAGAGGGCAGCCCAGGTGGCTCAGGGGTTTGACACCTGCCTTCAGCCCAGGGCGTGATCCTGGAGTCCTGGGATCGAGTCCCACATTGGGCTCCCTGCATGGAGCCTGCTTCTCCCTCTGCCTATGTCTCTGCCTCTCTCTGTCTCCCTCATGAATAAATAAATAAAATCTTAAAAAAAAAAAAGGGAGAAAGGCTGAAGGTTAACAGAATTGGTGAGCAGAAAGCCCAAACTAGAGTGTTGAAATCAGATGTAGTGGTTTTAATACTTAATAGTGTAAGAATTTTACAATAATGGTGTCCAAAACTCTCTAATGAGAGCTACACACTTATTTTCAAAGAAAAATGTAACAAAATTTGGTTTCCATAGACTAAAAATAAAGATATTGAAAGGAAAGTAAAAATTAACCATTTATTAAATCACAAAGCAAACTGACTAGTGCAAAGAAAACACCAGTTTTATTTATTTTTTTTAATTTTTATTTATTTATGATAGTCACACAGAGAGAGAGAGAGGCAGAGACACAGGCAGAGGGAGAAGCAGGCTCCATGCACCAGGAGCCCGACGTGGGATTCGATCCTGGGTCTCCAGGATCGCACCCTGGGCCAAAGGCAGGCGCCAAACCGCTGCGCCACCCAGGGATCCCAAAACACCAGTTTTAAAGGACAAATTCTCAGGCTAGAGTATAATGATACTTGGAAACAATAAAATAACTAAAACAAAAATTTCCAACCTCTTACTCTTCTTAATAATAATTAAGCCAAAGAAGAAATTATACCACAATTATAATAGAAAACCTTTAAAGAAATGGTGAAAATGAAAGATGATGTTATCAGAGTAATATTTGGGATAAAGTATATACTATATATTTTTCAAAGCTACAGTTTTGTAGTTTCAACTATTTTTATCATAAAGCATTTGGTATTTTCAAAAAACAGTAAGAGTAGAGTTTAAGAGTTAAGAGTAAAAGAAGTAGAAAATTTTGTGTTATTATAAATACATATGCACTGAACTTGCAACTGAGAAATCATAGCCACTATTAGCTCACTCTTTGGGTAAAAGTTGCCCTATAGGTGGGCTCAGCCCATGTTTGGCCAGCATAGAGTTATCACAAAGCTCCTCTGTACCCTCTTGTACATGTATCCCATATACATACATTGCTCTAGGGCTTGCTGTCATCCCAGTGCCTTTGCACTAGCTTTTCCCTGTACAGCAGGAATCTTTCCTGAATATCTGCTAGACTCACTCTCCTGTCCTATATCTTTACTTATGTCACTTTCTCAGTGAGATTTTCCCTGACTACCCTATGTTTCCTTCCTGGCTGTATAATTTATTTGTTTGTCTCTTCTCCCTAGCATGTAAGGTCCAAGAGAATAGGAATCTTTGCCTCTTTTGTTTACTGATATATCTGTGACACTTAGAATGCTTCCTGGAACACAGTAAGTGTTCCATAAATACGTGTTGAGTATTTGTTGAATGGTCATCTGGGAGTATAGAAAAGACAATGGACTATAGGAACATAAGATGGCTGCATAGCACCAAAGACCCCCTTATGTATGGTTAGCTTTATCATAAGTTCCAAATTTATTTATTTTTTTATAAGCTCCAAATTTAAAAACTGTTTCACAAAAGTTGCTGAAATGTAAATTTTATAGGTACCTCGTGTACACAAGAGAACATGACATTTTTCATCATAGGTACATGTATGTACCAATTGTGAGTGAAGTTTTGAGTAAAGTACATATTATATATATATGTGCTAAGGATGTTTTTCTCTTTAAAAAAAAAGATTGATTTAGAGAGAAAGCATGACAGAGAGGAGAAGAGGGAAAGGGAGAGAGAATCTTAAGCAGACTCCACACTGAGTGCAGAGCCTGATGGCAGGATTCAATCTCATGACCTTGAGATCATGACCTGAGCCGAAATCCAGGGTCGGATGCTTAACCGACTGAGCCACCCAGGTGACCCTGTTTTTCCCTTAATAGGTAATTTGTTTTTTTTAATTTTTTGCAAATCTCTTTCTTAATTCAAGTATAATTAAACTACAGTGTCCGTTTAGTTTCGGATATACAATGTAATGATTCAACAACTCCATACATTACTCAGTGCTCATCATGATAAGCGTACTCTTAATCTCCTTCACCTGTTTCACTCATCCCCCGCATACCTCCCCTCTGGTGACTACCAGTTTGTTCTCTATATTTTAGAGTCTGTTTTATTGATTGTCTCTTTTTTCTTTGTATTGTTTCTTAAATTCCACATATGAGTAAAATCATATGGTATTTGTTTTTGTTTTTCTCTGACTTATTCCACTGAGAGTTATATTCTTTAGATCCATCCATGCTTTTGCAAATGGCAAGATTTCATTCTTTTATTAGGGCTGAGTTCTCTATTCCATTTTTTTTTGTGTGTGTATACATATATGTATATATGTGTGTGTATATATATACACACACACATATATACACATATATATATCTCCCACATCTTCTTTACCCATTTGTCTATCAATGAACACTTGGGTTGCTTCCATATCTTAGCTATTGTAAATAATTCTGCAATAAACATAAGGGTGAGGGTGCCTGGGTGGCTCAGTGGTTGGCATCTGCCTTTGGCTCAGGGCGTGATCCCAGAGTCCTGGGATCGAGTACCGCATCGGGCTCTCTGCATGGAGCCTGCCTCTCCTCCCTCTTTCTATGTCTCTGCCTTTCTATGTCTCTTGTGAATAAATAAATAAAATCTTTAAAAAATAAAATAAACATAAGGGTGCATCTTGATAATTAATTTAAAAGGAATATATTCCACATCAGAAGAGCATACATAGTATACTGTGGAGACTCTGAAATTTTATGGCAACAATATCAACATGAGAAGTTTGAGTTTCATATTTGCCCTCTGTCTTCATTTGGGCTGCTTTAGTAAAAATACCATAGACTTAGTGCCTTAAACAATAATCATTTATTCTCACAGATCTGGAGGTTGGAAAATCAAGATCAAGGGGCCAGGAGATCTGGTGTCTGGTACTTTCTCCATTGATTCCAACTTCTTGGCCTTCTTCCTGTATCCTCACATAGCTGAGAATAGTCATCTCCTGTGTTTCTTATTACGGGCACCAGTCTAGCTCATGAAGCTCTACCCTCATGACCTAATTACCACCTCAAAGGCCCCACTTCCTAATTTAATACCATCACTTTGGGGATTAGGCTTCAACATACGAATTTTGTGGGGACACAAACACTCAATCCATAGTATCCTCCTTTTGGCTTGAATATTTCCACCACACTGACACCTCCTTTCAGGCTTCCTTATTAGCCTTTTCCATAGTCATCTTGTTAGGGAACATTTGCTTTTAATAGAAGAAAAATCTGTATTCTAAAATCTAGAAACAGAAACACAGAAAATTTTTAATCCTACAAGCATGATTTTCAGTTGTTTGCTTTAGTCCAATATAAAATTTACCCATAGAACATGAAATAATTTTGTCTTTTGTAGATGAGGTTTATAGTAATAGGTAAAATGATATAAGACTGTTCAGTTTCTTGTGCTGGAAGAATTACAGGTCTTTTCTGCCTGTCCCCACATAAAAAGTAGACAAGCTTTATCTGTTGACAGTATTCTGTGGCTAATGAGTAGCAAAGAACAAGGCTTAACCACTAGGTCTAGTTTTAGTTTTATAGAAAGATAATTTGGAAAAGAATGGCTAACCATCTTTTTTTACTCCATAGCATTTTCAGGTGTTAGAAACAGGAAATGTAGGAATGATAAAGCTTTTTTTAAGACTTTTTTTTTTTTTCCAGGCTTACTCAATTCCAGATATGGCCGAGGATGGGTTGATCACAGAAAATTAGCTGTAAATAGCTTTCGCTGTTTTGGATATGGCCAAAAGTCTTTTGAATCTAAAATCTTAGAAGAAACCAATTTTTTTATTGATGCTATTGAAACATACAAAGGTAGACCTTTTGACCTTAAACAATTAATAACAAATGCTGTTTCAAACATAACCAATCTGATCATTTTTGGAGAACGCTTCACTTATGAAGACACGGATTTTCAGCACATGATTGAGTTATTTAGTGAAAATGTGGAACTAGCAGCCAGTGCCTCAGTCTTCCTGTATAATGCCTTTCCATGGATTGGTATCATACCTTTTGGAAAACATCAACAGCTATTTAGAAATGCAGCTGTAGTCTATGATTTTCTCTCCAGGCTTATTGAAAAAGCTTCCATCAACAGAAAGCCTCAGTCACCCCAGCATTTTGTTGATGCTTATTTAAATGAGATGGATCAAGGTAAAAATGACCCATCATGTACTTTCTCCAAAGAAAACCTCATTTTTTCCGTGGGTGAACTCATCATTGCTGGAACTGAAACTACAACCAATGTGCTTCGGTGGGCAATTCTTTTCATGGCCCTTTATCCTAATATACAAGGTGAGGATCCTCTTGATGTCAGGGCTGTCCCTACATTTAGGACTTACACATGTTTTAGAGTCTTTGGGTATGTACAAAGCATTTTATTTAGGAATTTATGATGTGCTAGCCAAGAAGAAAAATATTTCATAGTTATAAAGAGTTTCACATATGTTACCTCCAGTCATGTAAAAATGTCAGAGATGGGTCTCATTATGCCCGTTTTCTCCAGCTAAATGGCTGACTTGCCCAATCTCAGCCACTGGAAGTGGCAGAGCTGGGACCTGAACCCTGTTTTGTTTTCTTTAATTCAAGTTTTATGTTTCACTATTTCCCTTGCTGAGAGTAATGTTATTACAATTATTTTTACTACTTTTAGTGTGTTTTTCACAACAGAGTTACTCAGAACATTGGTTTCTGGTGGCACACAATATATGGCCTATGTTTAAAAAGAACTCCCAGATAATGAAAAATCTGAATCTGGTACCTGTACCTTGTTGACTTATTATAGGTTATCCAAAGGGAAATTACTTTGGATGTAATTCTAAGAATTGCATAATAACTTGAACACTTTTTCTCTAACAGGACAAGTTCAGAAAGAGATCGATTTAATTATGGGACCCACTGGGAAGCCCTCTTGGGATGACAAATGCAAAATGCCTTATACTGAGGCAGTCTTGCATGAAGTTTTAAGATTCTGTAATATAGTGCCATTAGGAATTTTCCATGCAACCTCTCAAGATGCAGTTGTACGTGGTTATTCTATTCCTAAAGGCACAACAGTAATTACAAATCTTTATTCTGTACATTTTGATGAAAAGTACTGGAGAAACCCAGAAATATTCTATCCTGAGCGATTTCTGGACAGCAGTGGATATTTTGCCAAGAAGGAGGCTTTGGTTCCTTTTTCCCTAGGTAAGAAAACTTTCACAAGGACACAACTTTAGGACAGCATAATGATGATTGATCATGTATGACATCTTAATCTGAAGCGTTCTGTTGTAGAATTAAAGACTCCAACTCTGAAAATACAACATTGAATCTTACAGGAGAGTTTATACTTAGAAATTGTTGAGAAGCTGTGGCTTCTTCTGAAACTTTTTTGCTTATGGATTTGGGTTTGAATCAAAACTTGAAGGGCTAGAAGTCAGTAGGAACAGGTAGCTTGAGAAACTGAGACCCAGAGGAGGAAGTGACATAATTTGAAGTGAAATTGAAACATAGCTCTCTTGGCTTCTTCTTCATTGTACCTCATCTCTAAAATTATTGCATTTGCTGTAAAAAAGTACACAGACCACAAGACCAATGGAAGATGGATTAGAAGCTCTTCTTTCATTGGGAAGAGTTCACATTTAGGCATTTGAATTGAAACGAACTTCTCATGGATTTATAGAACAAAATGGCATACCTGAAATTTGATCTTTCATGGCATATCTTGGGCTGTGTTGCAAAGTGCAAGGGAAGTGCAGAAGGGGATTAATAAGCTTACAGAAGTCCATGATCTGACAAGAGAAGGTAAAGAAATGGGCTCTAGGAACTGAAGTGCCAGCTGTTATTTTTAATAAACATAACTGCCTCTTTCTTTAAATAACAGACTTAGTGAATGGTATCCATGTACTAGATATGAATTTTAGTAAATATTATGGATTCTAAAAAATCATGCTGTTCTTTTTTGTTTAGGGAAAAGACATTGCCTTGGAGAGCAGCTGGCTCGGATGGAGATGTTCCTGTTTTTCACAGCATTGCTCCAGCGGTTTCACTTGCATTTCCCGCATGGGCTGGTTCCAGATCTGAAGCCCCGATTAGGCATGACATTGCAACCCCAGCCCTACCTCATCTGTGCAGAAAGACGCTGAAAGTACGTGGATGTGTGGATGTTTTGTGGGAAAAGGCTATCTGGTTGCCTTTTATCCCTGAACCTTGTTTATCTAATCAGTGTATGTATTTGGGCAGAAATTACAGCATCATACAGCCAAATGAACACGGGCATGTCTTTGAAAGCATTACTAAAGCAATAATAAGCATTAGCTATGGTTTTTTCCAAGCTTTCATGGCTCCTAAGGTGGGATTATCTGTGGAGGAAAACAAAGGTGCAAATGACAGGTTTTGCTTAAGTAAGAAGGGCCGTGGATGCCCTTGGCAGAGCCCGACTTTTCACCCTCTTCTTGAGCACCAGGTACCCTCTTCCTTTCTTGACTCCATCTTGCTCCTGTCCTGGGGGTTTGCTTCCAAATGCCAGTTGCATTTCCCTTCTGATCAGGTATTATCATTAATGGGTAGTGTGGTAGGGAGTCAATTTTAATAGAGGAATAAAGAAATTAGAACCTAAATAAATTAATTTGGAGTACAGAGGTATTTTAGACACAGTGGCAGATAATAGAAGAAATATCTATGTATTTTAGAACCTGCCAGTGCTTTCAAATCTTGCTCCCTGTGATGTTTTCATAAGAATTACATTGTTCTTACAAATGAGGGTCCCTAACCCCTGAATATTCATTCCTATAGAACCATTTCAGTAAAAGGAAATTACAAGAATGTAATTATAATAAAAATGACCTCCTAAAAGTGATTATTAATTCTTTATGGGCAGAGACATTTTTCCTAGTACCACTTTTTTCTTAACCAATCTCAGGTCTTTTTTTTTTTTAAAGATTTTATTGATTTATTCATGAGAGACACAGAGAGAGAGGCAGAGACACAGGCAGAGGGAGAAGCAGGCTCCTTGCAGGAAGCCTGATGTGGGACTCAATCCTGGGACTCCAGGATCATGCCCTGAGCCAAAGGCAGGTGCTCAACTGTTGAGCCACCCAGGCATCCCCCAATCTTACGTCTT